ACATCCTTCTAGTTGCTGTATGTGGGACGTGGCCTCAGCATGGCCGGACAAGCGGTGCATCAGTGCGCATCCGAGATTCGAACCCAGGCCACCAGTAGCAGAGCACGTGCACTTAACCGCCAAGCCACAGGGCCGGCCCCATGAAGAACTTCTTTTAACATTTCTCACAAAGCAGTTCTGCTGGCAGTAAATATCCTCATTTTTTTCTGTCTGACAAGGTATTTATCCATATATTTTTTTTTCATTGCAGTAAAATTCACATAACATAAATTTCACCATTTTAACCATCGTAAAGTGTACAACTCAGTGGCTTTTTACTAAGTACACGTCTCTTTTTTTTTTTTTTTTTTTTTGGTGAGGCAGATTTGCCCTGAGCTAACATCTGTTGCCAATCTTCCTCTTTTTTTGCTTGAGGAAGATTAGCCATGATCTAACAACTGTGCCAGTTTTCCTCTATTTCATATGTGGGTCGCCGCCTCAGCATGGTTGACAAGCAGTGTAGGTCCGCACCCGGGATCCGAACCTGCAAACCTGGGCCGCCGAAGCAGAGCACGCCGTACTTAACCACTACGCCATGGAGCCAGCCCCTCTCCTTCCCTTTTGAAGAATACTTTCAATGGATGTAGAATTCTAGGTTGATGTAGTTTTTTCTTTCAATATTTAAAATCCACTCTCTTCTTGCTTGTATGGTTACAGACAAGGCTGTAATTCTTATCCTTTCCCTGTATAAGTAAGCTAGGGTTTTTCCCCCCATGTCTTCCTTCAAGATTTTATGTTTTTCTTTGGTTTTCTACAGTTTCAATATGATATGCCTAGGTGTTGATTTTCAGGGGCTATTTATCCTGCTTTTCTCTAAGCTTTCTGGATCTGTGGTTTGATATCTGCCATTCATTTTGGAAAATTCTCAGTCATTATTACATGAAATATCTCTCCTGCTCTGTTCTCCTCATGATATTCCAATTGTTCCTGTGTTACACCTTTTGAAATTGTCTCAGTTCTTGGATTTTTTTTTTTTCTCTTTGCATTTCAGTTGGGAAGTTTCTATAGACATTATCTTCAGCTCAATGGTTCTTTCCTTGTCTGTGTCTAATCTACTGATGATCCCATCAAGGCATTCTTCATCATTTCAGTGTTTTTGATTTCTAGCAACTCCTTTGATTCTTTGAGTTCTATCTCTTTGTTTACATTACCCATCTGTTCTTGCATATTGTCTACTTTTTCCATTAGAGCCCTTAATATATTAGTCTTAGTTATTTAAAATTTCCTAGTTGATAATTCCAAAATGTGTCATATTTGAGTTTGGTTTGATGCTTGCTTTGTCTCTTTAGTCTGTTTTTCCCTTGCCTTTTAGTGTGCCTTATAATATACAATTTATTGGGTAAAGGGACTGATGTAAACAACTTTTAATGTGAGGTGTGATGACAGTCTGCCTAGGAGTTGGACTGACTTTAATGTTTGTTGTAGCTTTAGGTGCCAGTGGCTTTAAATTCCTCTAGTGTCCTTGGTGTTGTTCTCCTCTACTGACTTTGGGTTTCCCCAAGAACTTCTTTAATACAGTCTGTGCCTTGAAGCTCTTTCAGCTGTAATCCACTATTGTTATACTGCAGCCCTGTTGACATGGTGGTAAGGTTTAGGGAAGGGGAAGCATTTTATAATTTTATGATTAAATCTCAGTCTTTTAGTGGGTCTGTGTCCCTGGTTGTGACCTTCACAGGGGTCTCTGAGCTTTTTCCCCCCTTCCTGAGGTGTGGCAGAAAGGCTAGAGGGGGCTGGAGTTGGGTGATTGTTCTATCCCCTGAGAGAAAAGGCTCTGATAGTCTTTTTACCTGGAGAGTAGGCTTTTGTCAGGGGGACTGCTGTGGGCATATTTTTAAATGGTTACTTTTCCCTTTCCCCTTATAGAGACGGGAGGGGATTTTTCTTGGCTCTTCACCATACTCAGCCTCCATCAGTTTGTCAAAATTACCACTTAAGTATTACTCCCAGTTTGTGGTTCTGCGTCTTCTGCTCTAGGTCAGCTGATCTTGGCTGTGACTGTATTTTCCTGGCTCTCCAGATTTTGGGGTGGCAGTTTGCCCTGCAACTTCAGTTCTCTGATAGGCCCAAGAAAAGTAGTTGCTTTTCAGTTTGTTGAGTTTTTTTCTTGTCATAGGATGGGAATGATGACTAACAAGCTCTTTACATGTTGAAGCTGAAACCAGAAGTTGCTTTTTCTTTGGTTTTTTTGTTGTTGTTGTTGTTTTAATGCTCTCAAGGCATGAGGGCTGAGATCGCACAAAGGCAGTGTATATCCATTTGGTCTTTTGGGAAAGAGTGTGCAGGGAAGCAGACCCTCTGTGAAGGGAAGGACCAATGGTATACCATTGATCCTGGCTCCTGCAGCCCCCAGGGGCTCAGCGGACACCGCCACCCCCCTTCACTGACTCATTCTGGCTTCATTATCTCTCTCCCTCCTCCAGACTCTATCCTACAGTCCACCTGGATCCTGCCCTAAAGGTTCTTTCTATAACTAATATCTAACCATATATCTCTCCCTGCTCAGAAATCTTGCACCCATAGAATAAAGTACAAGTTGCTCAGTGTGGCATTCATAGATCTTCATGGTTCACCCTAACCTTCCCTCTGCTGCCTGCCTCCCCCCATACCTATACAATATTGGGGTACTAGGGACACCTTGAACTACTCCCAGGTCCCTGAACATACATGCTTCCTCCAGTCTTTCTGCCTTGCACATGCTGTTCCCTCCAGAAGCCCTTCCCATCCTGACTGGCAAACTGACTCCACCAGGAAGACCTCACCTCCTTAGGGGTGGGCCTTCCCCAAGCACCTGTACATTCCTCAGGCACAGTGTCATGCTCTGGTTCCCACTGATGCCCCAAGGGACCTCGCCAACAGCCAAATCCCCATCTTACTCCAGGCAGAGGAAGCATGAGGCAGACACTCTGAATCTCCCCCATGGCCCTGCTTTTGTCCCAGAGGTGGGAGGGACATCAGACCACATTGGCCAGCACTCCCAGTCAGCCCTCTCCAGCTAGGGAGAGGAGGGAAGGTCTGGAGGGGAAGGAGCCTCTGTGCATGGGCACCTGCTATATAGGCCAGGGGTGAAGGAACCTGGCTCTGAAGGTAGACTGCAGGGGCCCAAATCCCAAGCTCCACCACTTATCAGCTCTGTGACCTTGGGCAAGCTACTTACCTCTCTGTGCTTCACCATCCTCATCTATAAAACAGGGTAATACATAGGACCTAGCTCTTAGGTAGAGAGGCCTAAGGGAAATAATGCAATGTAAAGCATTTCTGATGTGGTGAATGTTCCACAAGTGCTAGTTGTTATGATCACAACAACCACATGGGCCAAGCGCTGTGCCCAGTGCTCCTATCTCCTGGCTTCATTTCATCCACACCCTGGCCAGTGAGGCAGGGATGTTAGTTCCACTCCACAGAGGAGGCAACCAAGGCGCTGAGAAAGCAGAGGAGCCATCTGCTTCTTCCCCTTGCCAACCACGGCTCAGCCCTCTCCCACTCTCCTGGAATGGCTTGGTGGAGGCTGGGGCTGGGGAGTGAGGGGAGTTGCAGATTTGGGTTACATCAGGCCTGGCCCAAGGCACTGATGGTGCCTCGATGATGGAGGTGGTGGCAGTGGCCATGGTGGGGTTGGAGATGCACCCCAGCCCAGGCTGAGTTGGACGATCTTGCTTTTCTTCTGCTCAGTCCACTCCCCTGGTGCAGGTGGAAAGGAAGGAACCCCCCCATTTTTCAGGTCTTCCTATGGGCCCGGTGAGTACAGAGCTGGGGGCTCTGATGTCATATCCATTCCCACCAACTCCAAGAGGCTGGTGTTATGCCCTCATGTTACATAAGTCCAAGATGACACAGCCAGGGAGACTGGCATACAGAAAGCATCCATTCCCCTCTCCTGGGCCTCAAGTTGAGAAAGTCCCTCCCATCACTCTTGTACTATAATCATGGCTGTTTGCCCCTCCGTGTAGTGAGTGAAGCTGAATCGCTGGCTGAGGTCAATTTGGAATCACAAGGACCCTTGGTTATATGTCTGAACAGTTATGTGGAACCTGAAGCTTCACTCCACTCATCTTTGCTTAAATCTCTTGGCTTATGCACAGGATGTACAGTGCACAACCCCTGCAACTACACACAGCAGCCCCGTGTGGCCTCCATCCTCAGAGGAGGAGTTTTTTTGGACCAGAGCTGTTGAATCCACCCTACTGAACTCTGGGACCTCAATCTCTTCCTTCTCCAGCATTGCAGGTGCCCTATAGTTAAGCAAACCAACCTTAACTGGTCCCAAATCTCCTCTTACTTCTGCCCCAAATCCCTGGTAGTCAGACACCTTGAAGGACTGATCTACCGTGCAGGGCTCCCCACCCCCACTCTCGTTGGCCCCAGGCTTCCCTCCAAATGCTTCCTCCAGGTCACTCCCCAATTCCATGGTCTCCCTCAGCTCCCCTCCTTCAGCTCTCCCTGGCATTTGGTGCTCACTGCTAGTCCCCCATCGTACTGTGGGAACACTCCAGGGATTCTCCTACTTCTCCTATCTTCCTCCTCCCACCGCACAAATGTGCTCTTCCCTCCCTCAAGCCACGACCGAGTCATTGCCAACGCACACTGCCTACTCTAAGTCTAGTCCTGTGGATCTGTTTCTGTCCATCTCAATGAGGCAGGATGAAGCCCCGCTCCAGAGTCTGAGCCCACCAGAGCCTGGCAGCGGTCAGACTGCCCAGAAGGGCAGCAAAGCCTGGAGGGCTGTGGGAGGTGACAGGAACCTGTGCCTCTGGCTTCTCTCCCACTTGAGCTTCCCCTGGTCTTGTCGTCCCCAGCCCTGCCTCAACTCCTTGCCAGCTTATAACTAAGAGAGGTGTCATCTTTTGCCCCATGCCCTTCCCCTCAGCCACAGGTGACAAACTAGTGGTCCACAACACATTTTGTTTGGCCTGCCATACTTTTTAAAAGTTTCAATTCATTGCTATCATTTAAAAATTAACCAATTTCACTTAAGAGTCCAGAATTCTAGTTTCTTCTGAAAAATCAGAAGATCTGGCAACACTAGGCCCACATTACCGTATAGTCACAACCAGCTGGAGCTGGCCTCAGCTATCCCCCTTCTGCGGGGCTTGCATTCTGGTTTCTGCAGTTTTGACCCTCCCAAACACCCTGGCCACCCACGTCAGTGGCCTGCCTTCTAAACTGTACCTCTGCACGAGGCGGTCCAGGGGAAGGAACAAAGCCCGCAGGTCTCAGCACGCGAAGGAGGGCAGAGCAGGGCAAGCAGGAGGCAAGGCAGAGAGTCCCAGGCAGGAGCCACATCCTAGCCTCTTCCATCACTGTTTATTGCTAGCAGCGTCCCAGGCACCCTGTGTGTGTCCTGTCCCGGCTCAAGCCTGCCTCTGGGGGCTGGGCTGCTGCAAACACGTGGTTTGCTGTCCGCTACTTCAGGCCACTCCACATCCTGTTGGAGGTGGGCCCAGGGCCTGAGGCTTTGTCTTGGTCCTGAGTAGCAGTGTGGCATCCAGGCACAGCCTTCCTTACTGTCCAGCCAACTCAGCCAAATGTGCACCAGGGGGTGGCAGCCTTGTCACAGTCCAACATGATGTTGAGAACAGTGCAGGGGGCCCCTCCCACAGACAGGGCTGTACGGGAATCCACATGGTACTTCACAGTGCTCAGGCCTCCCTCCCGGTCCACCTTGAATTGCTCCTGGGAATGAAAGGGGGAGAGAGCATGTACTCAGGGCTTTGTGGGTGCCAGCTGTCCACTGATCCCCCACAACCTCATCATCAGAGGTCCTATGAACCCCACTGAAGAGAGGAGGAAGTGAAGCTCAGAGATGTGAAGTTTTGCCCATGGCTGCCCCTGACTAGTAAGCAGGAGAGCAGGGATTTTTCAGTTAGACTAGTATGGCTCCTACAGAAAAGGCTGTTTGAGGGATAGGGACTCCAGTGTTGCAAGTCTGACTAGGATTCTGGCACCTTCAGCTGAGTCCCACCCCCCTACCAGCCTGCAAGGACTCTGAAATCTCAGCTGACCCACAGTTCCCTGGTGCCCATGGCAGCCACCAGAGCAGGGCATGGGCCCAAGCAGAATGCCCATTGACTGACCTGGGCCAAGCAGGGGAGGACAGGGCCATCTGGGGCCCAAGGAGAACTTGTGAACTGCTTGGGCCTACTGGTTCCCCACATCACCACCTATCCGTCCCCAATCAGGGGGCCAGCCAGCACCTGTTTTTGAGCTGCGATGCGCTTCTGGTCCCTCTTCCGCCAGGCTGGGTCATGCAGGTGGCGAAATGTCTTGTACCCAGTTGTGATTCCCGAGGGGCGGAAAAGCTAAGGAGGCCAAAGGTAGTTGGGTCAGGCTGCCCCTCCTGGAGCCCTGGCCCTCACACTAGTCCTTTGGGCTCCCACTGCCTGCCATGGGCCACAGGAGGGGCCTGCATTCCCATTCTACAGAAGAGGTGTGCTAGTCAGGGGGCAGGGCTGGGATCAGAGCCAGGGGTGCCATTTCCAAGCCCCAGCAACTTCATCTGAGGATAGAGAAGGGAACCTCAGGGCAGCCATGATGGTGGAGAAGATAGCAGGGCCCTGGGTGGGGTGTCACCTGGAGCCCGGCTCCTTTGATGCGCCGGTAGAACTCGTCGTCCTCGCGGCCCCAGCCCCAGAAGCGGTTGGACATCCCGTTGCACTGACACAGAGACAGGCAGCGTCACTTGCCCCATCCTCCCAGGCCAGGCTCCCTCTCCTCATCCTCTCCTGGCAGTTCTGGACACCCAGATGCTTACAATTCCCACAACCTCTACAGTACTGGTGGACAGTCAGTGTATCCCAGTCTCTTTGCCTGTTCTAATGGGGCCTTGAACTTGTGTGACATGATTAGTTTCTCAAAAACTAATGTATGATTGGCAGGAGGGGACCTCTCTGGGGAGCTAATGATGGGCAGAAGTGCCAACTCCGGCTTGATTTCTGCCTGCCCCATACTCCCATTTCTCCTGGGGTGGCTCTGCCCTGGTATCTTCCTCTGTGTGAGCTCTACGGCAGACACCTATTTTTGCCACCCAACCTGGGGCTTCATTTACATAAAGCTGGTTTCAGCCACAGCTTGAAGAGAGGAGCAGGAGATGGAGGTCGCTGAGTTCTTCCCACCCCACCCACCTACCCTCACTCCCAGCTACAGTGACTGACTCAGGGATGGGCCCATGACTCAAGGCGGGCCAATCAAGAGCCAGCATAAAGCAGTTCTGGGACTCCTCTCTGGGATGCTGGGGAAGGGGGCTCCATCTTCCACTGAACTTGGGCCTCGATGGATGCAGGTTGCAGCCATGACAACCAACGTGCACCCTGAATGTCTAAAAATAAATCCAGTCTAGAGAAGGCAGAGGTGGGAGATGGAAGGTGAAATTGTGCCCTGGTGACACTGTCTGAGAGCTGGGCAGGCCATACCTGCAGCCAGACCCACCTCCCCCAGCCCCATCCAGACTTTTCCATTTTGAGAGCCAATGAAGCCCAAGTCTTCTGAAGCCAGCTTGCATGGGGGTTTGTTACTGCAGCAGAATCCTCCCTAACTGACTTGCTCAGTCCTGCTCCTCTCTCAAGTCTCTGACTGCTCCTGGGTTCCCCTGCTGGGCCTAGCAGGACTCCTCCACCTGCTCGGCCCCAGAACTGCTGCTCCTCCTGCCAGTGCCCCTGCCCAGGTGGGCGCTCCCTGGTTCTGAGCAGAGCAGGTGGGGCTGGGCCTCACCAGCTGGTAGTGCTGCTTGGAGAGCAGCAGGATGCCGCCGACATAGGTCTTGTAGTGGTAGAGCGGGTGGAGCTCCGGGGAGGCCACGTGGAAGGGCCCAGCCTCAGGGAAGCCGTAGTCCAGCTCCTCGTTGAGAGGGAGCAGGTCCACGTCATGCATGGCGATGTAGTCCGTGCTGTTGCTGCTCTCCAGGAAGCCCACGTTGATGAGTGCTGCCCGGTTGAACCTATGCAGGGGGGCAGTGAGCTTGCTCTCCCCTAAACTCTGCATGAGAGCCTGTCCTCCACAGCACCCCCCAGTGCCTCCACCCCTCTCCCACCCAACCCTGAGTTCACTGTGGGGCTGCCCACTGCACGTCTGCCCCTCCACTCATCTCACAAATGTTTACTGAGCACCTCCTGTGTGCCAGACACTTCTCAGAGCTCTGGACATAACAGCAGTGAGAACTCAAAGCCCTGCCCTCAAGGCACTGACATTCTAATAAAAGGAGACAAAATAAACAAGTAAATAGTAACAAGCCAGACTGTGGGAGGTGCCGTGGAGAATAGCAGAGCAGGTGAGGAGGATAAAGCTTACTGGGGGCGGGGCAGCTATTCTGGTAGACAAGTGGTCAGGGAGGGTCAGGGTAAGAGAGTGACATGTGAGCAGAAACCTGAAGGCCTGTGAGAATGAGCCACATGGAAATGGGAGGAATGGGGCTCTGAGCAGAGGGGAGAGTGACTGCCAAGGCCTGAGGCAGGAGCAGACACCAAGAAGCCAGGCAGAGTATGTGAGGGGGCTTAGGGGATGAAGTCAGAGGGTGATGGGCCGCTGATGGACCTGGGCTCTGACACTGGGTGAGATGGGAGCCACTGGAAGGCTCAGAGCAGAGGTATGACATGCTGTGACTTAGGGTTTAACAGGATCGCTCTAGTTGTGGTGTTGAGAAAAGACTGGAGGGCCAGGGGTGGAAGCAGGGAGAAAAGTGGAGAGGCTATCACAATAATTCAGGCAAGAGATGGTGGTGATTTAGCTCAGGGGGGCAGCAGCGGAGACAGTGAGAAGTGGCAGATTCTAGATGTATTTACTGATGGACTGGATGTGTATGCTTGGTGGGGGAAAGAGGAGTTGAGGATGACTCCAAGGCCTCTGGCCTGAGTAAGTGGCAGCATGCAGCTGCCATTCCCTGAAACGGGGAAGCGGGCAGGGGAAGCAGGTCTGGGGTGGGTGGGAAATCAGGAATTCAGTTCTGATCAGTTAAGCGTGAGATGCCTCTGAGACTACCAAATGAAAGGCTGTGCAGGCAGCTGCATGTGCAAGTCTGGAGTTTAGGAGAGAGATCTGGACTGGGAATACAGACTTGGGAGTCATCAGGGGAGAGATGGGATTTAACGCCATGAGACTGGATGAAATCCCCCAGGGAGTGACTATAGCCAGAAAGGGGATGCCCAAGCACTGAGCCTCAAGGAGCACCCAGGTTGAGAAATCAGGGACATGAGGCAGAACCAGCAAAGAAGGTGGGAGGGGTGGCCAGTGAGGAAGGAGGAGAACAGAGTGCTGTCCCAGAGGTCAAACGGGAGGTTTAAGAAGGAAGAAGTAATTCACTTGGCAAATGCTGCCGAGAGGTCGACAGGATGAAGGCTGAGCACTGGCCTTTGGACTAACAAGGTGGGCTCACTGGTGATGTCAGCGGAGCTGTTTCAGTGTCATGACAGGGTCAACATCTGAGTGGAAGAGGTTTGAGAGAGCGAAGGCGAGAAAGGGAAGGAGTTTTGCTATAAAGGGAAGCAGAGAAATGAGGTCATAGCTGTGGGGGATGTGGGATCAAGGGGGTCTTTTTTTTTCCTTTTTTCTTTTTAGATGGGAGCTTCTTCAGTATGTTTGTATGCTGATATGAATGCTCCAGGAGGGAGGAAAAAACTGATCATGCAGGAGAGAAAGGAGCCAATGGCTAGAGTGATGCCCCTGAGTAGGAGAGCGGCAAGGGATCCAGTGCCAGAGTAGAAGTGCTGTCCTGGAAGGAGCTGGGACAGCACATTCACGGGGACGTATGCACAGAAGCTGGTGGGCCAGTTGAGGGCATGGGGACTTGGGCAAGTTCTCTTCCAATTGGTTCTGTTTTCTCAACAGAAAGCAAAGTCATCAGCTGAGGGTGAAGATGGAGGGAGTGAGGAGAGAAGGTGTGTAAGGCTGCCACGGAGAGGGGGGCAGCAGACTAGACAAATGAGGCTTCCAGGCACGGCTGAGGGCTTTCCTGGGCCAGAGTGCATTGTCAGGTACACAAGCAGTATCTCCAGCCACAACTAGCTGCCCAGGTGCAGATGTGGAGTAGACAGAGTCAGGTTTTGTCAGGCGGGAGTTCTGCCAGGCAGAAAGGGGCAGGGGAGTTGAGGTGTGTGCGGGAGAGTGATTTTAATGCTGAGCCATGGAATCCAGTCAGGTGAGGAGAAAGTGAGGACAAGGAGGGTGGGCAGTGAAAACTGGGAAGATCGTAGACTAAAGGGCCTGGTGGGGTCCAAGAATTGTTGGAGTATGTCTCCCAGTGGGAGTGAGTTGACAGGAAAGGAGCTGGGGGTGGAGTGTGAGAGGCTTGGATTGTGATCATGGAGGGGAGCAGTTTTTGGTAAGGGCAAGGATTTTAGGATAACACCGGACTGCGAACAACCTGAAAGCCTGGCCTTGACCCTCCCTTTCCCGATTCACCAGCTGATCCACCAGCAAACGCTGTCTGCACTTCCTCCACATCACTTCTTTCCACCTTTCTACCGTGCTGGCCAAGACACCATCATCTCAGACGACTACAAAACCACCCAACAGGCCTTCCCACCCCTTCTCTTGTCCTGGTATAATCTATTCCACATACAGCAACCACAGGGATCCTTTTTCTTTTTCTTTTTTTTGCTAAGGAAGATTGGCTCTGAGCTAACATCTGTGCCAGTCTTCCTCTATTTTGTATGTGGGTCGCCACTACAGCATGGCCACCAACGAGTGGTGCAGGTCTGCGCCCAGGAACTGAACCTGGGCCGCCAAAGTGGAGTGTGCTGAACTCAACTACCTGGCCACAGGGCCAGCCCCAGGATCTTTTAAAAATGAATATCAGTTCAGGGACCTCCCCAAAAATCCCCATCACACCCACTGAGAGAACGCTCCCTCCCACCCTCCTGCCACTGCCGTAGGTGGCCCACCTGGCATTGGACTATTGCTGGGAAGGGAGCAGGCCCTGAGAGGTCTGGGCAAAGTGAGGCCCCTGGAGAGGGGTGCTGGGTCGGGAGGTAGTCCCTACCTGAAATGATCCACCTGGTTGAGCACATAGATGTGGTGCTGGATCTTCTTCCTGCTCAGGAAGCGGTGCATGTGGGGCACAAAGACCAGGAGCTCCTCAAAGCGTTCGCGGAAGGGCACCAGCACTGCCAGGCGATGGGGGCCCCATGATGCATCTTCTTCCCAGTGCTCAGGGGGTGGCTCTGGGGGGCACACCCGGGGTGGGCCTGGGGTCTCCTGCCCTTGTCCGCTGGCTGCCCGGGCCACATCGCCAGAGCAGCTGAGCTGCAGCCAGAGCAGGGAGAGGAAGCCTAATAAGAGACAGGCAACGAAGAGGTGGAAGACGGAGCATTTCCGGGGGAGGCCGCTGGGGAGCAACCTGGACCTGGGACAAGAGAAGGGATGCGTCAGAAGGGCAGGGCCGAACTGGGGCCTTGTGACAGACCCCTTCTCTGGTTTCTCCACAAGTAGGGCGCACGTGACTAGTCTGTCCCAAGTGCCTGGGAATTAGTGCAGAAGCAACGTCAATGCTTTTGCTCATGCTGCTACCAAGGATCAGAATCCTGCTTACCACACTAGGTCCAGCTTGTGGCACCCCACCTCCGGGAAATCCTCTGACCACTTTCAGGTTACAGAGCTGCCCCAGGCCCTCGATGCTCTCTTACTTTCTGTGAGTGAGTCCTGGTCAGGCCACGAGCTGCTCGTGGGCAGGGATGAGGCTCCTTGTCTCTTGCACTTGCCCCTCCCCAGGACAGTGGCTCATGTCCTGAGCTGACGGCAGGAGTCCCGCTTTAGAGATCCTACCCACTGCCTTCCACACTTGCTCCCCTCCAAGTTTACCCCCTTGGCTTTGTCCTGCTTCTCACACGAGAAAGCTCCCCAAAACAGGGGCGTGTGCCGGCATCAGTCCTCGTGAAAAGACCAACGTTTACTCTGGGAAGATGGGACCTACCCCCAAACTAATGCAAGGCCCAAACTGACAGTGGCAGTTCACTGAACAAGTCTCAAAGCTTCAGTCCAAGAGGCAGCCCATGTGACAAGAGATGAGAGACGGACAAGGGAAAGAAAGATGAGGGCTGGGTACAGCACCTAGGCTCATTTCAGAAACAGAAAAACAGCTGAGTATGTTAGACATTGGGGTAGTATTTCTGGGAGAGACTGCCCTTTAGGTTAGAAAGTACTAAGAAGCAGGTGGAATTCACCTGATTCCTTTGCCCCTCTCTCTGGAAGTTCCTGAGGGCAGTGGAGGAGGAGCTGAGGAATCCAAGAAAAAGGAAGCTTCCTCTATACTACTTCCCCTGAAATAATCTGGAATCTACTTTATAACCTTTAAGAGTCACCAATTGGCTACCAAGTCTTACAGATTCCTGAGTGTCCCTTTGATCCTTCCTCAACCAGTGTCTCTTTTAGCTTAAGTCTCATCTGGTCCTTACCCTTCAATCACATGGATGATCCTCTTCTGTTTATCAGATAATAGCGGAACCCTTGGCCTGAAAGTGAAGCCCCTCTGTGACCTCGCCCCATCTCCAGTTACTCCCTGTCCCTAGCCCAGTGCTATCATACTGAGTAACTCAGAGCTTCTCCACTCACCATATTCCTTCCTGCTTCTGCCCTCAAATAGCCTGCTGCTTCTGCCTGACATGTCCTCCTTATTTTATCTGCCTGGGAGCTCCCCGCTGATCCTTCAGGGCCAAACTCTAATGGCATGGCCAGCATCTCATGACCCCTGCCCCCACGTGCACATAAACTGAGATACACACTCTCTCCTTTGTGTTCCCATGGTATCTGGTACTCCCCTGTTTGAAGCACTTACCCACAGGCAATCAGATTCCTATCTGTGGCCCCAGCACAGGTCAGACAGCAGAAGGCTTGCTAAGTGAGTTACAGGAAGGGTTCAAGCAGTCAGGGCATGCTTTTAAGTCACAAACTAGAGCTGGACCAACTCCTGCCTTTCTCCAGAGGCACAAATGCCCACCTGGAAGCCAGCAGCCCTGAAGCCAGGCAAGGTCCCACACGCAGCAGAGAGGTTGCCCAGTAGGACACCTTGCAAGGCTCCTAACTTACCCCCCGTTGTCCTGTGGTGGGGGTTTCCGCTGGGGAAGGGTGGAGCCCAATCCTGCGAGTGGCCTGGGAAAGCTGGAACCTCTACAGGTTCTTTCTCGCCCTCCTGGCTGTCTCTGGGGGAGGGGTGGAGACCAGGGAGATGGACATGGGGAAACATCCCACCTTCGGGGAAAGAAACAATGACCATTATCCAGGGGTATGGCATGGATTGGGCATTCCATGCACTTTCACATGCTGTTCCTTTGGTCCAGCTTCCTCTTCCTACCAGGATCACGTTCCCATGAGCAATCCCATCATGGCTCTAAGGGCCCAAACTGCTGAGCAACTGACTTCAGAGCCGAGTCCCAATTCCCCAGGACAGTGGACAGAGAACTGTTGTTCCTGGTGCCACCTGGTGGCCAACTCCAGATGTGCAGTCCCAGCTGCTCCTAGACCCAGGCCACCCTGCTCTGAGGGGCAGACGAGATGAGAGTTTGTCTCCATCAGTCTATAGGTCCAAGGCTACTAAAAGGTAGATTCAAACCCAGGAAGGCTGGCTCTGGAGCCAGCACTCTTAATTGCTACATTAGCCAGCATCTGTTGCTTGGATCTTTGTACCCCTGTGTCAAAAGCACAAACTGATATCAATATATTTTCCTGGGAATGTGGTTATGTTTCAAAGGCTTATGGAAATGGATCAGGAAATGGAAATTCTCCTCCATTACCTCTCCTTTCTTCCCTCACACAAGCCTCAGTGATACAGGGTTTGAATACTCAGCTGCTCTGATTACAGAACCTCCAAACTGCAAAGGTAACTGAAAGACAAGTGGTACCTCCTCTGTGCCAGGCAGAGCGTCAAGAGCTGTATATATATGATCTTCAATACTCATACAGCCCTGCAGGGTGGACGTTATGATCCCTGTTTCAGAAATAGAAAAGCTGAGGTTGGAAGGATTAAGTGATCTGTTTCTGGTCACATGGCTATTAAAGAGGATTCCCACCCATGCCTGATTCCACAGTCCAGGCTTTCTTTCTATTTTATTCCTGTCTTCTTACTTCAACACCAAGTCTGAAAAATCCCTAATGGTAAAGAGTCGTGCCCACTATATTCCAGAATCTTTTGGCAACTGGCAAACTTAAATAAAGGGAATGAGGTGTCATTCACTGGGTGGAGTCCCACTATCATGTATTCTGGGTGAGAAGAGTTTGGGGGGCACATCTCAAGACTGATTTGTGGGTGTCTTCCCAAATCTAAGTGGCCAAATAGCTCCCTCTTCATTCTGCTTTAATAGGAAACATCATTAGCTAAGGTCTGGACCAAGCTCACACCTAACACACGGAGCAGGCCCCATTTAAGTAGAGCTGCACAGGAAGTGAACTAATGTTCTATGTAAGGAATGCCTAGTAAGTGCCAGGCAGAACATACAGAGCTTCTGTCCGGTGTGTTCTTCTGGGCGGTCAGCAAAGGATGGGGAAGGATGAGGGAGGAGGGTAAGGTCTGAGGCTACGGGGATGCAACGGGGGAGGCAGAGGCCAGAGAAACGGAATAAACACCCTCAGAGAGTAGGGACAGAGAGAAAGACAGAGATCCACTGAGAGGTCAGCGGAGTCAGAGAGCTCCACGAAGAGAGAGGCCAGTGGAGAAACAGAGTGACCCACAATGAGAGAAAGAGACTCGTAAAGAAAGAAAGAAACAAATTCAAACAGGGGAGTCAACGGAGAAATACAGACCCGCGGAGTGACGGAGACCAGTAGAGACAGAGACCCACACAGAGAGATCCAGTGACCCTCAAGGAGAACCACAACCCTCAGAGAGCCCCGCAGAGACGGAGACAACGGCCTCGGGCTCCTCGATTCCGCGGGGCGGCCCGGAAAGGACTGGCACCCGGAGGACGGGGCCCGGGCCGGCCGCCGCCGCTCACCTGCCGTCCTCCCAGGGCAGCTGCGCCGCTTTCCTCCGGGAGGGGAACATCCTGGGGGGAGGCGGCGGCGCATGGGGCTCGAGCTCCCAGCCGGGCCGGGCCGGCCTCCCGGGCCTACGCGGCGCCTCCGCCTCCCGCCCCGCCCAGGCCGCTTCGCCCCGCCCCTCGGTCCGCTGGGTCCGCGCTCCGGCCGCACCGTCTGCTCGCCGGAGCTGCCACGTCAAAGGTTCCGCGAGCGAGGAACACGTGAGCTTTCCAACCGCCCGACTGACCTCTACATTCTGAGAAACTGAGGCCCCAGGAGGGGCTCACGTCACTGGGCTGGGACTGGACTTAGACTCTAGACTTCCAAACGAGCGCCCTGGGATAATCTGCATCCTCCTCCTCTTCCCAAGGGAAGGCGGGGAGCGTCTGGGCAGCCCCGCTGTCAACCCAGGTGCATTCTTCCTCCACGACAAGCTTGGAGCGGGCAGGGCCAAGCTCGGGGCTCAGTCTTGGGTTCAGCCGATACCCCAAGCAGTACTTAGGAGCCAGGCGCTGAAGACAGATTGACTGGATGCGAAAGCTGACTCTGCGAATTCAGCTGTTTTGGGGCAAGACGCAATCTCTTTGCGTCTGTTTCCTTACCTGAGTACATAAATGTTGTCTGATCTACCTGGTTGCTGTGAGGATTAAAGGAGAAAACGCAAACACTTGGTAGAGCGATGGGCACAATAGGCAACTCTATATAAATGATGGCTGTCATCCACGAGAGGGGTACTCGGGTGGAGCTGAGGTGAGAACTGAAGACGGGAATAAGGAGACTGAGTTCCCATATCTGCCCTGTCGCCGTGGGAACTTAGCCCCAGCTGGGCCAGCTTCCCACCTGGGAAAAGAGCGGCAGAGTTACTAGACTTATCTCCTCTGCTCTTCCAGGCAAATTTTAAGTTTCTTGATAAATAGCTAACATTTATTGAGTTCTTACTACGTGCCAGTCATTGTTCTAAATTCTTTACTATTGTTACCTCACTCAGTCTTTGTGAGTAATGTACTTAGTATGCCCACATTAAAGATGAGGGAACTGAGGCACAGAGAGGCAATTAAGGATGTAAGCCCAGGCAGTTTGGTTGCACATTCTGTGGTCTCAACCACTCTGCCTCCGAGAGGACTTCCCAGTGGGTGGGAAAGTAACCATTCCTAGCAGCCCCTTCTCTTTCTCCCTTAAACCCAGCATACAACCCACCAGTCCCCTTCCTGCTGAACTCTCTCAGGGCACTGCACTGTACACCAGAACCTTGGCAAATGTAACCTAGGTTTGTCTGATGACAAAGGCAAGGCTGACCTGCAGAGACCAGTCAGGTAAGGCCAAGGATAGAAGCAGGGAGGTGGGACTGTGACCTGAAGAGCACAAGCCCATCTAAAGGGAACAGCCACCATTCAGTCCAGCTAATTATTGTCACATCAGGATGAAGCCCCACTAGTGTCAGATCTGATTTCTCTCAAGAAGTCAGATTTCACATAAAAATCCAAATAACTAATTTTAAACTGTGACATCCAGTCATGTTGGTGATAAGTACCCTTGATATGATGGGATGAGAATGGCACTTGACTTCTGTGGTCTTCCTTTCAAAAACCCAGAACTTGTCTAAGCATGAGGAAAAAAGTAGACAAATTTCAGTTGAGGGAAATTCTACAAAATACCTGATTAGTACTCCTGAAAACTAAGGTAATAAAAAACAAGGGAAAGTAGGAGAAAATTTCACAGCCAAGAGGAGCCCAAAGAGACAAGACAATTAAATGTAATGTGGTATCATAGATAGGATCCTGGAACAGAAAAGGGACATTAGGTAACAGCTAAGGAAATCTGCATAAAGTATGGTGTTTAGTTAAAAATAATGTATCTATAGTAATATTCACATAAGCCTTCTGATTTAGCATTACTATCCCCATTTATCAGATGAGAAAACTGAGGCACAAAAAGAATAACTTGCCAAAAATCATAATGCTCAGTACTAGTAGAGCTGGGATTTAAACCCAGGTATCCAGCCCTGGAGTCCATGCTGGTTTAGCTACTGTGTCTTGTGGTATTGGCATGCTAAAGGCTTTTAGACAGTTTCCTTAAATTTTTTAGTCTATATTTTCCTTAGAGTTTGGGAAAAACATTGAAAAATCTGAAATTAAAGCTAGAGAAGGTTCAAATACAGTTTGTTTACACATGCTAAAACCTATTTTGTATAAAAAAATGAATAACTGACTTGAAAATCACTGATGGTAAATAAATATGATAATGAATTTAGGAAATGGTTGAGCCTGGTTCTTACCTGGAAAAAGTGAGTATGAATAAAAACATACCCAAGAAGCATTCACACCACCAGAGATTTTCCATTATTTCTATTGTAACACAATTCTAAAAATGTTTCTCTAATAATTTACTTTGCAACTGTATCAAAGGCAGTATTACTTTTCACTCTATGAAAACAATATGTGAAAGTTGAGCTAACTCAAGTGTTTGGATTAAGCTTTTCACACAGCATATTGGAGGCTCATAATAAAATATGAAACATTTCAATTAAAAATAATACTGACTTATCACTGTTGGTTCATTTAATTTTAACAAATGTATCATACTAATGCATGACCTAATAGAGGAAATGATCTTCACAATTTCCCTGTAATTCTAAGGCTGTTCTAAAGTTTTTTTCTGTGGAGATCTAGGTGGCAATATGAGCTCACATTACATCTTCCCTGCAGTTCAAGTAGTCTCCAAACTCATCTCCCCACCACCAGTCTCTTTCTGCTGGACTAACCTTCCTCAAATTTACATTCAGGGGGTTCTTCTACTCCAAACTTTGAACAGTAGGTAATGTCCAAATCTCTTACCTGGGGCTCAAGGCTCTTCTAACTCTAACCAACCTTCCTTTCCAGCTTTCTCACCACCCCCCACCCCCACCCCTCCAGCTAAAACAATGCCCATCCATCTGCAGACCAGCAGTTTGCCTCTGCTTCCCCCAACCACTCTTGCCCTGCCTTCTTTCCTCAGAATCCTTCCTCTCCTTCAAGGTCCTTGCTGAAATCCCATGCTATTGGTTAAGCGCATCAATATCCTCATCTCCACCAGCCCAGGCATTTCTGTCCTTCCCACACCTGCAGCATTCCTCTGCTCAATGCACACTACCTTCCCTAACCAGGCACTTCCTTGCAGCACCATGAGTTCTGTCCACCTACTCCGGAAGAGCATGACGGCACTTCATAAGGGAGCTGGTGCAGAGGAAATGTGGATTTGAGCAACCCCACCATTTACTTGTTGGATGGTCTTGGTCAAAACCACTACCCGCTGCCACAGGAAGGTATGGAGAGGATGGAAAGAATGAAGTTCACAGGTGGGTAGTCATCTTGGAATGTGAAGTGCTTTGCCCATTGGAAGAACTCACATTCCCTGAAGCACCTTGCGGTGTTACGCCCACTGATAGTAGAGTAACTTTACACTGGACAAGAAGTCAACTTCTTTTATTGGGAAACCAATGTAACAAACCTAGACTTATTGAAAATGAAATCAGTAACTAAGACTTTGCAGGCCCCGTCCCCAACCAGCACCAAGGCCTCTGCTTGGCCTGACCCCAGTTCCTCGAGCCCCAAAAAGGAAAACCATGTGAAAAACCCAGGGACAACCTCAGGGGCGCTTTCCCACACTGCAACCCCCTCCACCCCACCCTCAACTGACACACACCCTGGATCAGCAGGCTGGGTCTAGACCCAAGGAGGGAACAGTGAGGTTCCCAGGGTGGCAGGAAATCACAGCTATACCTCAACCAGCTCAAAACCCCCAGTTAGCAAAGGAAGACAGAAGGAAGACTGGCTTGCCCACCCACTCCCCTCCCCACAGCCACCCCAGACAACAGCCTCACACCCCTGATCAGTAACACTGCGATTCTGAGGTGCCAGTGAGGCTCCCAGTGGCTTCACCAGCCCCTGGGTGATTACTGCAAAGGGGTCAGAGCCCAGGGGACGGGGCAGGCATTTGCCCCACCACCTGCTTGGTGGTAGCCAGCCAAGCTGCTGCCCTCAGCTTGTGCCTGGGGTGCCTGTGGCCCCTCTCCCTCCAGAACATCCATGGCTGTGAACCAGTCCTCCTGCCAGAGAGAAATCAGTTCCACGAGGCCCTTTCTCCCTCAGCCTGAGAGGAAGGATGGCTGTGAGGCCCGGGACGGCTACACCAGCTTCTTGGCTTCAAAGAAGCTCTTGAGGTGTCGCATCTGCCAGACGCCGATGGCTACGAGGATGAGGGTCTGCAGAATGGACCACCATAGCACTCGCTGGTTGGTGCTCTCGCTGGTCTGTCGGAAGCGCTCCTCTCGCCACTGTGGGAAGAGAGAATGGAGGAGGAGCCTGAGTTGGCTAGGCCCCACCTGGGGCTGCTAGAACTGCTGGGTTCCCTCCCCAGAGGATGCCCCAGGGCCAACCAGCTTTGCCCAGGTTCCAGTCAAGTGCCTGCAAAGAGCCACCCAACCTGGGGACTGTATTCATCCTCACCAGCCAGATGACCTTAGGAATCCCACTCATTTTTCCTAAGGCTGTTTGCTCATCTGTCAGACACAGCCCTCACCTGGTCCCACCCTGGAGCCTGGGGGAGAGGTGAAGCAGCTGCAGTATCATCCAACCCGACAGAACTGTCCCTCTGACCCGACAGAACTGTCCTGGAGCGCTCGGGAGTGGACTTGCTCTGAGCCCTCTGCCCTGGTCTCCCAAACTGCTCCTTGAAGACTGTAGTTGTAGGCATAGGTTGCAAATTCGTGGCCCAGGGGCTGGATCTGGCCCATACATGTGTTTTGTTTGGCTCACACAGTGTTTTGCCAAGCTTTAAAACCCAGGAAAATTTCACAGAAAAAACCTGGACCTCTAGCTCCTCTTAAAACCCAGGGCTAGCATTTCTGCAAGGCTTCTCTCAGCTGACAATCAACCGAGGTCACTGAGGATTAGACAGGTCACTGTCCTACCAGTCCTTATGATTTCAAATTCATTCACAGTACCTGCCTGGCTCCTGGACACAGGTGAGTTTGAAACACCTGGTCCTGGGAGGATCTGGAGCCATGGCAACAGCACCCAAGGTGTTGGTATCAATTCCTACTCTGTGACTTTGTGTGTGTAACTGTGTGATTTAGAGCAATGACAGCCTCTT